GAATTTTAGGATTATTTTCTTTATTTCTGTGAAGAATATTGTTGGAATTTGGATTGAAACTTGAATCTGTACACGGTTTTTGGTACATTATTTTCTATCCTATTGAAATCCTTTTCAGAATATCATTGTCAATGCCAATTTCGTGAAGTATCAGTTTTATTTTTCTTTTAGCAGTTTAAGAGTTTCAAGCTTTACATTAATGTCTTTGATACCATTTGAATGGTCATTTTCACAATATTAATTCTTTTAAACCATGATCATCTGAGGTATTTCCATCTTCTGCTATCTTAGTCAGTTTTTTTATTCAGTTATATAGATTTTCACTAATAAGGACTCTTCTGTCAAAAGTTTATTTTAATATATCCTTTGAACCAATTGTGAATGGGATGGTTTCATGGTTTCTTTCTTAGCATGTTCATTATCAGTATACAGGAAGGCTGTTGAGTTTTATATGTCAATATTGTATCTTGCTATTTCACTGAAAGTGTTCATCAGTTATAAGAGGGTTTTTTTTTTTGTAAAGTCTTTAATGTAGCATCGTATGGTCTGAAAATACAGTTAAGTTGACTTCTGCCTGTACAGATAAGTTGATTTCTACATTTTTTAAAATCTGTGCTCCTTTTATTTCTTTGTATTATTGGTCAAACTGAGACTTCAAGGACTCCATTTAGCAAAAATAGAAAAAAAACAACCCTTGTCTCCTGTCTGTTTTTAATGGAAACGCTTTGGGTTTTTCCCTATTTGGCTATAGGTTTGTCATATATAGCCTTTATTATATTGAGTTATATTCTTTACATTCCTGGTTTCTTTGGGGGTATATATCATAAAAGAATGTTGGACATTGTCTCAAGTATTTTTAAAATCTACTGAGATGGTAGCAAAGTTTTATTTCCTTTGTGCATCTAACAGTAAACATTTCTTTTTCTAACCTCTCAGTCCTTTCTTTACTATGATCCTCTCTTGCTTTCTCATGATTCTTAACCTCTTTTTGGAGTCAGGAATCAGATGTTTTCTTTCAGATTCCGAACACAGGAGAGTATTCTTTGTCCTTATTCTGCCATTTTCCAATTCAATCTGACTTATATGTCTTTAAAACTAGTAAAGGTAGAGCTTTCTCCAGTTGGCTATTGAGAACTGTGTTCAGGCATATTTTAAGCAATTACTCTAGTTGCTACCAATAACTCTCTGTGGTGATAAAGAGGTTCATACAGAGAGATTAAGAATGCCATTAAGCCACACAGTTACTATGTAAGTAGTAAATTCATAATTGAAATCCAACTCCAGACCTATGTTTTACCTCCACATGACCTCTTCATCTGCAATGGAGGCAAAAGAGATCCCTATATAAGTTACAGTGCCAATATTATGATGACCATTAGAGTCATGAGAACATAAATTATAGAGGAACTAACTCAAAAGACATATAAGTAGCAGAAAGAATGTACAATGAAGAGGTATCATTTTTCATCCCCTATCATTGTATTTCAGGGTATAATTTGAAACAAGTCTGGATAGGTTGACAAAGCTGTGTGAGATGGGCTAAATAAAGCATTTGATATGTAACTTGAACAAAAGAAAAGGCATTGTTTTGGACTGGAGGTATAGCCACTAAGGAGGCTGAAGCAGGAGGATTACAAGTTCAAATCCAACTCTGCCTTAAAATGAAAACATAAAAAGAATGCTGGGGGTGTAGTTCAGTGATCAAGCAATAGCATGTACAAAGCTGTGTGATCAATCCCCAGTACTGAAAGAAAAATAAATAAATAAAGCAGAGAAAAGGAGAACTTATTAACTGGTTTAGAGTAGACTATGTTTGTTTTATGTTTGTTTGCCCCCTTCCATCCCCAGACAGAGTTTCTCTATGTAATAGTTCTGGCTGTCCTGGAACTAGCTTTGTAGACCAGACTAGCCTAAAACTCCCAGAAATCCATCTGCCTCTGCCTCTTTATGTCTTTCTGCCCCCTTTCCTCTCTGCCTCTTTCTGCCTCTCTCTGCGCCTCTCTGCCTCTCTCTGCCTCTCTCTGCCTCTCTCTGCCTCTCTCTG